TGCCAGTCTTACAGTAGTCCCAGTGCTGCCTCAGGAGGGGAGAACTTGGTCGGTTGAGAAGATCTGAATCGTTTTTTTTTTCTTGCTTAATTTAAAAATCAATGTTCACGTCTACATCTCTACAGAGCCGACGTCACGACGTCAGGCAGGGGAGCGGTGGTAGGGTGCAAAGTCTATCCGTGTCCCGACAGAGTCACCGGCGTTTTACAGAAGTGCACACAGATGTTCCAACACACACACACACACACACACGCGCGCGCGAACGCACGCACGCGCTCACACACACGCATATTCGCGCGAACACACAGAGTGCGTTCTCATTCCTATCACCCCCCGGGGTTCAGGCTTTTTCAGTTTCCCCCTCAGCTTAGCGCACTGGGTGCGCTTCAATCTTCTGTACAAAAAAAGCAGCCTCCGTCCCCTTGGAACCAGAGACTATGTGTTTCTCCACGCTCCTTTTTTTTTTTCTTCCATTTTTCTTTTTTTTTTCTACTTATTTTGCGCGTTGAGCAGTTTGTCCGCCTCGGGGTAAACGGGGTACTTCACGGTCTCGATCTTCTCCTTAACCTTGTAGGAGGGGTAGAGGCCCGTGCGGCCCAGTTTGCGGTTGATGCCTTTGGAGTAGCCGTCCCAGTGGTTGCCGGCCACGCCGATCACGTCGCCGGGCTCCAGGGGGATGTCCTCGCCGTTGCGCGGCTGGTGCGGGTACACGGCGATCTGGTTGTGGGCGTTCTGCCCTCCGAAGTAGTAGATGTCGTCCAGGGAGTAGAAGAAAGACGAGGCGTCTGGATGCAGCGTCTGCATAATCTCGTAGGCTACGCGGCAGACCTGGCACACACAAAACCGGGGAAAAACTGGGATTATTTCCTATTCAGGATTGTGCAAGGCTGATTGTCTTGGTGGTGCTGGGAGGGCCTGGAGATAAACAGAAAAATTGCTCACAATCAGACATGTGTGCTCCATTTTTCCCTTGTTAAAAGAGGGATGAAATATGCTAAATGACTCATCGGAGTTAGATCTTTCAAGTGGGTTAATAAGAAGGGAATCTGAACGGGAATTAAGGAGCTCGGATTATTTTTAGGACTGACAGGAAACCTTTGCACTTCATCAGAGAGAAGGACTTCACAAGCTTTAGATAATCAGAGGAGTGGAAGGCAAAAGCGTTCACTGTAATGTCGGAGCTGTAAAAAAAAAAATGCTAACTGTTTCTAGCATGTGACAGAAAAGGAGGACAATGAGGTTGTTGACAATCACATGAATGCGATTACAGAAGCTATTCTGGTTTGCTGCGAGACAGATTCTTACTGCTTCGACAGATTACTACAGAGAACTGATCTCGTTTTCACGGCCCTCTTCGGAACTATGCCGAAGGAATTTGCTTTGTGTTGCTCAGTCCTTGCGGATGATTCTGTTACCAAATCTGTGAGCGATCTGGCACAAACAGGAAAATACTTTCATCCGAAAAGGCCGCTTCATATAAATCATATTATAACAGTTTCTATTGAACTTTCTCGCTTCTCTGTTTACGAACAAACACACATAAAAAAAAAAAACTCTAGTCAGATTGTGCCGACTTTCAAAAACCGCCTCTAATGAAAAAAAATAAAGAAAGTGATCCTAACCAGCTGGCTGGGCCCTGACTCATATGTTATGATAGTTTGGGATAAATCTTTCCGTGCGTTTCTCGTGAAAGTGAGCTGACCTGCGAGGAGAAGGTGCAGACCAGGAAGTCGGTTTGGGACAGGAAGTGAATGTCCAGGATGACTCCTCTCAGCGAGTTCTCTGTGTAGCGGTTGTGAAGGCCTGCCGACCACGAGATGGAGTTGTCGCTGATGAACTCATAGTCCGGGTACCTGAGAGGGTTTAGAACAGAGAGCAGAGGGGAGGTCAGACAGACGCGAGGCAGAAAATGATCTTCTCTTCCCCCTCTCAATCTTAACCGCGGCAGGACACTAACTTGGTCTTGGCTTCTTGCAGCAGGGAGGGATCGTCTGTGGCCAGGTAAACCCGTTTCTTGTCGACGTGGACTCGTCTGGCCAGGAGCTGAAACTGTTCCTCCACATGCAGCATGTACTCCTCTATGGGATGGAAGGCAGCTTCAGTCCCAACTTTATCTGTCCGCCTGACATGGACTCTGCGGACAGATGGGGGGGGGGTACAAAATATTACAGACCAGTATTTCCACCTCCGGCCATTATCACCGCTGAGATTTTTCTGATTTTATACAGTTTTTTTTTTAAATCTCTGTTTGTCCGAGATATTTTTCGCTGTAATATGTTCAAAATGATGGTCTATTCATGTTTTGATCACTATAGTAAATCTGTCTCTACAACAACAAAAACCAAAAAAGAGAAAACGTTTGATGATAAAATGCAGGAATCTTTCCATTGTTGGTGTAATAACAAACAAAAGCGAATGATGGGGGAGAAAAAAAAAAGTTACATTTAAAGGCACACTGGAGGCAACATAAAAAGAAGGAACAAAAAGAAATAATAAACCCGACTGCGTATGTTTTTTTTTTCTTCAAATGTACTCGTTATTGCTTCCAGGAACGACGAAAGAAAGAATGTCGTCACTGGGCTGAACATGTGAGAGGAGCACAGCTTGAGATATAGAACAAAGCAGAATAAGAATGGGAAATCCTCACCTGACACAGAAGGATCCATCAAAATGATGGATGCAGAGACACAATTTTATTTGTCAAAAATGATTAAATTACTAAACCACCCTGCAACTAAATCTACACAGTGACCTCTTGCCTTGGGGAGCAAATGAAATTTCAAAACCTAAGAAGGAAAAATGATTTTCAGCCTTCAGTTTTTTATTTATTTATGGAAAAGTGGACTGTTTGACTGTATTCCGCTTCTTTAACTCTCTTCACTTCCACCTTAGTACCTGCTCTGTATACAAACCCGGTTCGGGATCAAAATCTGCCACCAACTTCCGAAGCTGGGACATCTTTTTCTTTTTTCAGTAACGTATTTGGCATCTATCGGCTGCTTTGGAATTGAAAAAGGCTTCTCTAACCTCGAGGTTGCCTCTTTTCTCTGATGTGAGAATGAGGCCGATGTGGAAAAAGGGCTTTCGGAGGCACAAATGAAAGAGAATAAAAAGCTGCTCCTAATTTTCTAACACTGGCAAGAGATCAATCGGCGACTACTGCTGGATGCTTGGGTTTATTTACATGGGAAAATACAACTCGAAGAATGGAAGTGAGCACAGAAGGGTGAGAAAGAAACATGAATGTTGGTGTATTTCATTGTGAGTTTAGAGTCTCTGATCGGACAGAGGTCTTGACATCAGGCTTTGTTAGGCTGAAGACTCTTTTTGTTTCGGCCTTTTTTCTCCCTCCGTCACAGCGAGGAACTGCACAGCTCTTAGCCGTCTCCCCCCTCGTCCGACTCCCCAAGCACCCTCCCACATAGCCGCTACAATAATTCAATTCATTTCCGTCTATTCATACAGTATTGGCAAAGCAGGGCAGTTCTCATGGTGGGCGTAAAAGCATACATTAAGGGCATCAAAAAAACACCCCGCGCTAGATGTAGAAAATGCTGATTCTGGCAGACTGTGACAATTGAATTTAAAGTGAATAAATTATTTGCTGGAAAATGACCACTTGGCTCTGGCTGCCGATCAGATGCCTATAAAGAGGGCACCAGCGCCTTTAATATTTGAATCTATGACAAAAAAAAAAAAAAAAAGCTTGGAGCATTTGCAGAGCACGCAGAAAAGTCACAGCTTCCACAACACGTAGTCTGACATCAAGACATTTGCTATTAATTTGCTTTTAAGATTCTTTTCTGTTAATAATATGCTCAACATAAAGGGACACGGGCAAGACCAAATATCTTGAAAAAAAAATCTTTTGGGGATCCAGTATAACCCCAGACAAGGATGGATGGACACAGCATAAATTATGCCATTTAAACACCTATAAAAAGGTATTTCCATCTGTTTAGTCTTGTCACTGGAGAATCATTCTAAAATATATCTGGTGCACGACTTGATGCTTATCATACCAATAAAGTATGTGCAGTGCCGTGGCAGCTGCATTTATTCGCTTTTTTCCCCCTTTAACCTCTTCTTCCCTGGAGCCACTCTAACCGTATTTTATTATGGAAACGCAACCAAAGCCATTTTTCAAAGGTGTCCGAGCCCGGCGCGTGCTCCGGCCGGCCACATAGTCCTGCGATGACTAAAATGGATGTAAAAAACGGCCGTGCTCCATCTTTTTTGGAACAAACCTGACACACCTGCAGGTTAGCCCTTTGCTAACTGGTTTAGAAACAGCCTTATTCTTATGAGGAAGCCTGTTTTTTTCAATTCTTCATTTTCACTGTTATTTTCTTTAAATCTCACTGTGAGATTGGGATGGAGGTAAAGAGAGAATCAAGATTTTAATGAGAAAATATCTTTTCAAGAAGCTGAATTTGTTACTGAGGTGGATACAATGTAAGTTTCAGAGGGAGGGAGAGAATGAGACTTTTTTCTTTATGTAAAAGTCAACCTTTATGACCTAAACTTACTATAAATACTGAAAAAATACTGAAAAATTCCAATATTTTTGTCATAAACCTGTGGCCTCTCCAACCCGCTTTCCCACTGAATTTCCTGGCCACCATTAAGTGGCATTAAACCGTGGCTGGATGGACGTCTGCTGATGCTTTTAGTTGACCGCTCCCTGTCTTCCTGCGACTCGGCTCCAAAGATAGCAGCGGAGCAAAAGTGGTGCTGATGACGGAGGCGAGAGGGCACACTGCCTTTCCCACCACCGTCTCACCTTTTCAATGCACCACCTCTTTCTTCCAAACCCCACTTTTACATAAACACCACCGCCTCCCGCCCCCCCACAATGCTGATAGAAGCACACAGGCACTTTGTTGCAACATCACTGCAGAATGGATTGGATGTATTGAGAGCTGGAAATGGTAAGAAGGGGGGGGGGGGTAGAAACGTTATTATACCCAGCTCTTCATTTCAATAAACCTTTCCCATGCGATATGGAGGGAGAAAAAAGGGTGGGATATGTGTGAGTGGGCCGTGGTGGTGATAGAGATGTGTGGGAAAGTCTGGGAGTAAAATGGCTGTGGGTAGAGATGTATGTCTGGGGAACGAGAGGGAGAATGTGGAGAAAAATAGAAAAAAAATCCTGGAGCGAAGCGAACAAACGAAGACAGAGGAACAAGCACAGCTGAAGGGATGTGAGAAGAAAAGACTGAATAAGTTAGGGCTTCGGAGGGTCAAAAAGGGACAAGGGGATGAGGCAAGGGACAGAGGAAATGAAAGGCACAGAAGTAAAAACCAAGGAGAGCTGCACAGAGAAGGAGAGAACAAGAGAACAGTAATGACTGCTCGCAGCAAAATGCAAAAGAAGGCGAGACAAAGAGAAGCTGTGAAGGGCAAGAAGCTGGCAGAGAAACTGTGGACAAATGGATGTGAGCGCTGGGTGATGGAACAATACGAGGCTGACTTCACAAACTACTCCATTATAAGTGTGAATTTTAATATCACAATTCCATCGCCGGGCAGGAAAAAGTCAGACGCACGGGATGCTGAGGAAATTTAAGACGACATCAGCACAAGATCGTGAATATTATTACACGTATTTTTCCATGACTGACAGCTAATCCTTCATAATGCGCATCCTCCTCACGTGGGGAATTTACCCTCAGACTAAATGGGCTAAAACAATTGCCAAGTATCATATGCAAAGTCTGATTTGATCCAAGCTCGAGTTGCTGCTGGGAAGAATTATTCATGAGTAAAGAGGGGCTCTTAGGAAAAAAGAAAAAAAACACGAACGCTGGCTGACGGAGTGCCTGACAAAAATTCAGTGAAAAGTAAACAAGTGAGTAAACACCTTGACGTGTCTAACCGGTTTCTTAGAAAGCTGCACTCCAAAGTGGCCCGAAAAATATCCTGAAAGCATGCGTTTTCACATCGGGGGTTCTCTGGGGATGAGGCCACCTCGCACTAACAAGTAATTACGCCGCACCGGCCAACAAGTATTCCCAAATCAGTTTCAAAAGATGAGAACAGAATCTCTGGAGACGGCACAGCCGAAGCAATCAGGGGAGCACATGAAATCAGTTCTAATGATGGCAGATTTAAGACGGCCTGTATCATTTTAGCTTCTCCATTTAAAGCAAAATACCAAGCCAAATTTTAACAAGGTCGGGACACTGCGTCGGTAAAAGTCGGTAAAAACAGAAAGTAATGGCTGGCAAATCTTGTCTGATGTTAGTCTAAGTAGAACATAGAAAAAGAATAAACTAAATTACGAAATGATGGGGGAAAACTAAGTGGTGCTAAAGAGAAACGACTGGAGGAACACCAGATTGACTGCCAGTAACTGAGCACAAGAGAATTTCTGCTTTGAATCCGTGGACATAACCCTAACCCACAGACAGAAAGCCTCTATGTTCTATAGATCAGTTGGAAGAACCAGCATATCTTAGCTTACAGTAAAATTGTGGAAAGGATATTGACTACATTTATTTAAACTAGTTTCCAACTATTCTGCAACTAAACTGCTCCAAATATAGAAACCGCAGGTCCCAATCCACTGAAAACAGGCTGTCCAAGTAATAAACAGACTTTCATTTAGTGTTGCATTTAGATGAACATGATTTTGTTGCTCAGTACCTTCCAAGAACTAAAAAGACGTATCGTTATGTTGGTAGTTACAATAGAACTGGTTATATGCCCCTTGTGTGAATAAAACTAATCATAAAAGGATGTGAAATATATGAATTGATTAAAGTCTGTCTGAATCCAAACACTGGCTGAATGACTGATATGCATCTATAAGAATGTTCTTCCAAAGTGCTTTAAATTTAGGCACATATAAGTCAAAGAAAAGAAGAAAAAAACTGAGGTATTTGGAACTATTTTCATCTGTGGTCAGATTTTAGTTTAATGACCAGAAATGTGCATTTGACAGAGGAGTCAGTGGCATCGCAGAAAACACTTGCTAAGAAGAGCCAGACTTCCCCCAGTTGCAAAGAAGTGTAAATCCGTCCCTATGCTCAGCCTTTTCATGGGACTTCTTCACAAGGACAATTTGGAATATAAGCAGCCCTAATTACAAAGGCTGGAGAAGATAAAAGTGCGACTTCCAGGCCACTGTTTCTATTGAAGCGATAAAAGTTCCTTTTCCTTATCTGGTTTGAATTTACTGACTTTCTAAAATTCCCCATTGTGTTTAGCTATGCATGTGCTTTTTATAAAATGATCAAATATAGAGTACATCTGGGATCATTAACAACAAAAACAAGATGCGATCAAACAAACTGCTTTTAGAAAAATAAAAACAGCGATGAGCACAGGGTGATGAAACTTCTCTAAAACACTGGATTTGCATGAACTTGAGCTGGATGAGTGGAGACTGCGCAGTAATGGAAAAGCGCACGCCTTGCACGGATAAATAAAGGATGAAAATAAACTAAACCAAATACCACCATCGAACGAACGCACTTTAAAATGATTGTATTAACCTTTTTGTTAACCTTGCCCAGTTCAGTGTTTGTCTTCCACAACAGCCCTAAAGGATTTACATCCGTTTTAGTTCTCCTGTTTTCGCTGATTATGAAGCACTTTCTAACCTTTATTTCAAAGGGGACTACAAAAACAGAATCTTGTTATTTGAGCATTAAGCCCCGCGCACACAAAATGGAAAAAAAAGCTGACCGTCCTTACCCGATGATGGGATGTTTGAAGCCCAGTTTGGCGGTGGTCTGCTTGATCTCCTTCTCCAGCCACGTCTGGGGGCGGACCAGGTACTTGACAAACTGAGACACCCACCAGACGGACGGGTCGCCGTGGAGACGATGCAGGCGCGGGGCCAGGTCCTCAGGGATCGCCAGAGGTAGGTAGGGGGGCCGGGGGTGCAAACTGTCCACGATGGGCAACTCCACAACCTGGACGTCCTTATCGTGAGCCTCTCCTGAACACACCCAAATGAGACATTAAAGTTAAAGTTTTTTCTCGTTTCTTTTTCTCTTCAGAGCCTGTTATCATTTATCAGGGGTTAGGTCAACACAATATGACAAACTGTTGAATTTCCAATAGTTACAAATGGGGGGGGTTTAAGATTGCTTGCTTTGTCAAACCAACAACCAGAAAGTTAAATGTGTCCCCTATTACACTGGAAAACAGAAAACGAAATAAAAGGCTCAACTTGAGGGGGTGGAGTCATAAATGTTTGTCATTTGTGGTTGATAAATGGATCCAACCATTCATCATCAGTTCCAGAGCTGTTACACAGTGAACCAGGCCACAAAAAGTCAATAAGAAGCAGGGAAAGAAGGCGGTTAAAGAAAACTTTCTTTCACTTTCTCTTTCAGCTTTTTATTTTATTTTTGTGGGTTAGTTTTGGTTCTCATCTGCTATCTGAGGGGAAGAACTGTAGCTTTGAACTTTGCAAACAGAAGCCACTGGACTTGTTTTGAATTGTTTGGGTTGAGGTTTTTGATTTTTTTTTCCTGTAATTGCACTACTGGTTTGCTCAGAACCTGCAAAAAAGTACATACACTAACTCTAAACACCTTCAGAGCTATGACGATCTCATTAATTAACTCTGGAAAGAACTGTTATTCTTGTGGTTTTCTTCCAAACCTTATACAATGCATCATAAATTATTCAGTACAAGATACTTGCAGCAAAACATAATATCCAGGAATACTATATAAGTTATTTTTTGGCCCACAATATCAAATCCCAGAGTCCAGCTTTTGTGAATGGCAGAGCTAGCTGAAAGGCCAAGGAAATGTTTCTGTCAAAAATGGGGCAATGTGCGGCCGAGGAGGGGGCCAGGACCGCAGGGCTAAAGAGGGCTTACTTGTAGTCTGAAACTGGCCTCCCTAGGGCTGAGACCTGCTTGGAAGAACCCTCAAGCAGACGACTGAGCAAAGCTGATTAAGAAGGTCACCCCTTTGGACAGCCGAACACCCCCCCCCCCCCCCCCCTGCTCTTCCAGACCACCATAAATGATCTCCACACAAAGACTTTCTTGCGGTTTATGCGCACCTGCATGTGTGAACCATACAGGATTTTTACAAGCGCAGGCTTGTAAACATGGGAACGGGATCTGAACAGAGGGAAAAAAAGATGGCCTGACAACGATAACTAATGTGGACCCAAGGAGAACGACAATAAAAAAAAAATTCTGCACTTATCCTCTTGAGCACACACAAAAAAAAAGCTCCGGCTAATCACATCTCACCAGAAGGGGATCTGCCTGGCAAAAGCAACCTTCACTCTCTTTCAGTTTAAAACCCTGTGTGTGTTTAAATAGCCTTTATTTCCGTAAAAAACAAGTCTGAGGCCCGTGCTTTGTCGGACTAAAGTGATTAACTAAAGAGACTCGGACACGCCCTAATACAGAGACAAACGCAGCCTCCTTAAGACTTTTACAAATAAATGGCATAACGAGTCATTAAACATGGCCTTTCGCATAAAGGGGGACGTTAAAAAATAGATAAATAAAAAAAAGAAAAAGAAAAAAAAAACATTTTTAAAGCAAGGGCAGACACATTTGTGCTTCCATTTGTGTGTACACATGCCGGAGCCTGAACTGAATATAAATTGCTGGGAGCATTAAATATTGAGCAGAAAAAAGTATTCCCAGGCCTGTCTTTGCTTATATAACGACACTGGCAGCGTCACATAAGGGGGGGAAATGGGCAGATTTTGAGGCCGGCACTTTTTTTGGCACAAATGTAAAGATTTGGAGTGCAGCGTTTCCATCCCAGCGCTGCTTAATTAGAGCACAAAGCTCCACCACATTTCATCTCAACTTGACAAACCTAAAATACACTTCTCGTGAGCAAAATCCATTTTCACATCTGGGTCCGCACTGACACAGTATTCCTCTCTTTAATCCTATCATGCATACTGGGTCAAAGGCTTCGTATGAGGCCTAGAAGTTGGAGACTAATCTTGTAAAAAACAAAACAGAGAGCCTGCCCGTTCTTAATACATTTGAGATGGAAATTTAGAACATGCAGGTCTGTCTTTGCATGACAAGGAACGTTGAGATTCTCCAGCTGCTCTCAGACTGAAACATAAGGCTGAAATATCTCTGCGGAGAACCTCAAAAGCGCTTCCCGTCTGGCAAATTAGTTCTTTGATCAGATAGCCATTCCTCTACAAAAGGACTGATTTCGGCTCAATGTTTCGTTCAAATGTATTCTGTTTGAGCAGGCCCACAAAGGTTGTAATCTCTGCTGTCTGTAAATCAAGAAAAAGGTCGGCAGAGCGGGGCCGGTTAAAAGGTTTTTCCTTTCCTTACGGTTTTCCTGACGCTTCCATGCGGTGCTGTCAGAGAGTGGTCCAGAGCAGAGACCCAAACCGCTCATGATGTCTGCTCAGACTTATGGTTACAGTTTAGAACCACAACTATTTTTCACAGGATCCTTTATTATGGGGATAAACCACTTCACAACATCCAGCCAAGTTAAGCAAAACGCCCCAGGAAGAGGCATTATTTAAGTCTATCATAACGAAACAAGTTTTTGGGAGCACATTAACAGGGGTCACAGCAGGCACAGACAAGAACAGAGAATGGATCTTGCAAAAACAAACAAGAAAGAGATTTGCCAACGCTGGACCGTTTCTGGAACAACATTCGTTAGACAAATGAAACTGAAATCAATCTGCTCTGTGGAGAATGTTCGGAATTATTTATGATCCAAGGCATAAAACTTTCCCTGTAATATATGTGCAGGCAGTGTAATAGCACGGGCACACGGATGATGTGATGGAAGACATGCGAGTTCTGAAGTGTGTGGGAATTCACTGCCCGCTTTGATTCATCCCGATCAGGGAGGTCTGATTGGACGGCAGTTCACTGGAAAAGATGAACAATGACCCAGGTCGTCTGAACTCAAAACAACACACACGAAAACAAAACTGAAAGCAGAACGCTCTACGAAACTAGTCCAGACCTGAAAACACATTACAACAGTCTTTCCTGACTGTTTGTGGTGTCCACACAACTCCCACTCATCTCTTGAAAAGAATTATTAATGCAGAGTTAAATATAACTATTGAATTAGGAGATGATTAAGTATGTCCAATTATGTTTGATCCCACTAAAATGGCTCTGTCTGTGTGCACAGGAACCGGCGTTAACTTTAAAAGCCTCTCCCGATTGTGTATACCTTCGAAATTAATGCTGAGACTCTGCTCTGAGCACCACATTTATATCATATACAGTAGGCTGCTTGGGAAACAGCTCAAGACAAAGCTTTGTGAGCGTGTAAATATTTATACTCCGCTGTATGCTTTTTTTCCATTTTTCCCATGATTTGTTTTTTTTCTCCTCAATTATTTCTACATTTTAGACTCGTGCTATTTTGCCTCTACAGAGAAACAACTCATAGAGGCAAAGTCTCCGGGTTATGATTGTATCGTTGTGGATTTCGTGTAATGTTGTGCTTTTCCATTTCACATTTGAGGGGAGAAAAAATATATATAAATCAGCAGGTCCCATAATGACTCCATCGCTATCTTTGATGTTCCCCCCCCAAGCAGTCTCTTAACCTGACAGAAATACCCCGTCAAAGACGCACATGCCATGCATCTCCTCCTGGTCTATAAATGTCTCCCATCCCGGAGGAAACGCTCAACAGAAAAGTGGGCTACCCATGTTAAGATATATGGGACAAATGGAAATCTAGTGGGTTTGTAATAAAAAATGTCAGGAAAGTCAATTTTCTATGTAAACACAAACAATATAAAAGAGACGAGCCGGGGAGGTCGATTCCGGCACAAAGAGTCAGAGCTTATGAGGAAACTATTCAGCACAGGGAGGAGTTTTGGAGTTTCGGAGAAGCAAAATTCCAAATCATAACATGAAAGAGGCCAACAAGGTGTGGAGCTTCACACCATACAGGAATTTAGGGACTGACATCTGCCGTCAGTATCGCTGGCTCAAAACAACCGCTCTGGCATAGGCAAACACTTGACTTAATTAGTAAGTTATTCAGCATCTCTCTTTATTTATAAATCCAAGGTTTCGGCATCCCTTTGTGCTCAAAAGACTCTGCCTGCTCTCGCTTTGACCTCTGGCACGGCAAAGCATTCAAAAGCGCTTGAATTACCCAATCTAGTTAGCTATGCTGGTCGTCAACAACTACTTCCTCCACTAACTGCGGGGTTTTTTAAAAAGGAAAACCCCTTAGGAGTGCCCAAGGGTCTCAGGGGGGGGAGGGGCGTGATGCTGGGCATGAGAAGCCGTATATGGCACATATGGATCTATAGGAGGCAGCTTTTAAACGCACGGAATGGGAAAAAATACATTAAATAGTGGAAAAGGACACATGAAAGGCAAGAAAATAACAGAGGGGAGGCCGTTAGAGTGCAGGAGATAAGAAAAGAGAGAACCCAGGAGAGCAGGAGTCAAATTAAGCAGTCGCAGAAAAATGAAGAGCTGAAAGGATGCAGGGATGAGAACAGAGAAGGTATGAAAGAAAAAGCTATTTGGGCGTGGTGGCGGGGGATCAGTTGGGGCTTTACTGTAAAACCTCAAAGGAAGAACTGATCTCCGTTTTGAAATGCTTGTGTTTTGTCGGCTCAGTAAAGGCAAACAAACGTACGCAGCAGAAACATCCATCACTCATACGCAATAAAAATCTCCGTTTTGATTCTTTCAAAAGTGAATCTGCGTCCTTTGTGTTATCGGGGAGATCAATTCACTCCTTATCATCAGGCTATGATAACTCCTGATGAAACAAACAGTTTAGGACATGCTGAGATGGTCCGCAGGCATGTTGTGTGAAATTTACAGATTTTAAGGGGAAACTACCAACTACGAGGCGGGAGAAAATAAAATAAAAAAAAGAGATAAAACATAATATTGTGAAAACCTTTACGTTTACGTTCTGAGCCAATGTGAGGGACCAGTCCGGTTTCTGTCACATTATAGCATAACGCTGGATTTGGAGGGGAAAAGGTTCAGAAATATTTTGAATTAATTGGTACGTAATACTGGATGAGTTTCCCCAAAACGTGTCACAGTTTCTTTCTGTGTTCTCTTTCTCTTCTTTCAAGTCTGAAAGAAGTGTTTCATGCAGAAATACAGAAATCCATCTGTCCAAAAATAACTAACTTCTGACAAATGCTGTCTGGTATACGGAGGTAAAGGTGTGTTGCCAATGGCCATAGCGAGAATGTGAAATAGAATCCAGGAAGCTTCGCATGAAAAACGACCGCAGCCCTGAACTTGCGCGGCCATTTAAAACCTCTGGCAGCATAACCTTCAGAGACTTCGATTTCCTTGCGAGCGAGAGTAGGCATTTATTGCAAGACTAAATACTCGGACCTATATTATCGGCTGCTCGTGTACGATTTAGAAAGAGCCGCGCAAAAGTACGAGAGTGCCTAGAAAAGCACGATTTTTATATTCAACACAACATTAAATATTGATGTCAAAATAAACTTTTTGCCAGGGAAAATGTTTATGTTGCAAGTAAATGTGAAGATAGAATGCCCCTTCAGTCAATCCGCGCCAGTCTGTGAGCTACAAAGGAGAAACAAAAAGCGAAGCCCCCATAAATCTGCGGTGAACGCCGAACGTTCCATCTGCTATATCTGCACCGAATATGCATTACCTTTATGGAGGAGTCTCCATCAGACACTGGGAGTACAAACAGCGCTAGAGTGAAACGAGTTAAATTAGTGGCTTGCTTATAGAAAAAGTCGCACGCATTTTTTTGGCAATGAAACCCATTACGAGTAACCCAATCTGCTTCCTGCCAACTGGCAGTCCGAACGCTCTAAGTGAGATTGCGGTCCTGCCCAGAAAGGGGAATTCGCACTTGAATTTGCTGAAGTGGCACAAAGGCAAGGCCTGCAGAGCCCGATATCGAAACGGGACGTGCCAAAAGTTGTTGAGGGGTTATTTGATTATCCGGTAAATGATTGCAACTGGGGGCGGCACGGTGGCGTGGTGGTTAGCACTGTCGCCTCCCAGCAAGAGGGTTCTGGGTTTGAATCCCAGGGGAACCAGGGCCCTTCTGGGTGGAGTTTGCATGTTCTCCCTGTGTCTGCGTGGGTTCTCTCTAGGGTTCTCCGGCTTCCTCCCACAGTCCAAAAACCTGCATGTTAGGTTAATTGGAGATTGGGGAAATTGCCACTTAGGAGTGAATGTGAGTGTGAGTGGTTGTTGGTCCTTGTGTGTCCTGTGTGTGGCCCTGCGATGGACTGGCGGACTGTCCAGGGTGTACCCCGCCTCTCGCCCGTTGACCACTGGGATAGGCTCCAGTTCCCCCCGCGACCCCATCAGGGAATAAGCGGTATTGATAATGGATGGATGGATGATTGCAACTGTTGGCTAAAGCTAAACCGGAGCTGTGACGGTCCGTTTTTACCCACCTGACCAGTGTCCGGTGGAGGCCCCCGAGCGGTCCGTGCAGGTGTTGCTGACGGGCAGGAAGACGGTCTCCCAGCCGCCGGGGGCGTAGCGCCAGTTGTGCGACTCCAGGATGAGCGTGCGCTGGGTCCCGTAAGCGATCATGAAGCAGTAGACGACGTGGTGCAGCTGGCAGCCGTAGCCGCAGCCCTTATTGATGTTACACACCAGCTTCCTGGCCTTACTGCAGTCCGGGGGGTTCTAGGACGAGAAGGAAAAGGTTGTTGTTTTTTTAGCATTTCGGCATTGCCAGACTCTCCCCCGCGTATCTCTCTCAGAGACCCCCGCTCTCTGACTTGTAATAACACAAGGCCGATATTATTTTGTCTCATGCTCGACATTCATTTCGTGTCGCCCGCTCACGTTTCTTTTTTTTTTTTTTCCCAGTTTGCCTTTTTTTTTCTCTCTTCACCTGTCATTTCTCCCTCACTTCCCTCTCTGTGATGTCCTTTCAACATGTTTTCCAGCTCATTGTCTCATCTCTCTCTCTCTTTTTCGGCACCCGGGTACTAAAAGACACAGCGTTACTGTTGCCCTGGAACCTTTAAGAAAATGCAAATGAGTCATACCTCTCCGGAGATTATGTTCATCCAAATGCACCCGCGTTTGTCCTGCATTCAGTCGAACAGAAAAATACACACTTGGCTCCGGTTTCGGCAATACTTGCTCTTTACCAGCTGTTTTGGGAAATGACTGTGCCTTTTTGAAAAAGGGTCTGAATGCTGCTGACATAAACAGATGGACTGACTCATACACGTGTTTGTAATTTTCCTCGAATTTGTTACCACCAAGAAAAAAATACGGAACTCCGCCAGTTTCAGCCTTTAATATCTAATCCTCTTTAATCTCTTTTATTGCTCTTGCATTCCATTATTCATTCCCTTTTCAGTGCTTTTTCCTTTTTCTCAATTTCTTTCTTAACATATTCTCTCCTATTCTCCCTCCTCTTCCAATACCATCTCATTCCTTCGTATAGAAATGACCCTTGATATCAGAGTCCAAGGGAGAGGATATGTCTTTTTTTCTCTCGCTTTTTCACTTTTCGAAAAAAAAGTGGGGAACTAACAGAGTGACACACGCTGTGTGGACGATGAGATGTCGGGCGGGTTCTGATCCGCTCTGCAGCCGATCTGAGCGACTCTGTGGATGCTCGTGCCGACCGGCTTCCTAAACAGCAATTACGGGCTGATGGGAGTGCTTTCCTCATTAGGGGCCGCTGCAGCTGTGGATGGTTCACAGTAATCAGGCCGCCCGACACCCACCGGCTAACACACTGCCTATCACACACACGCACCAGCGCCAGAAGAAGGGGAAAAAGAGGGGGAGGAGGAAAAGAAAGTGAGGCAAAGAGAGGGAAAATGATGAGAGGACGCGGGAAAAAAGCCGGAGATGAAATGGGAAAAGATGACAGAGGGGCAACGAGAGGAGGAGCAAGGAGAGGAGAGTGCAAAAAAAAAAGAAAAGAAAAGCTAACGCTAAAAGAGCCCTTAAGGGATATAAATGAACACTAATGCTGCTCAAAAACATGAACGCAGTGAGGTGGCAGAATAAGCCGTGAAGCTTTTTCCACTGAGTTACAGGCTGCCGCTTCGCCCCACAGGCGTGAGCTAACTCCCTAATGATCCACGGTGGCAACGCAAAGGACCTCCACGATGCTTGTTGTTGTCTGTGTACAGACCTGTGTCGATGTATCTGCATGATGTTACCATTCGACACAAGTCATGTGGAGCTGAGGCTACCCGCGTGTCCCGGGTGGCTAATGGTGGAGCTGGAAATGGAGGATAATGACGCCAGATGCGCAAGCCAGGCAGTCGCTCTGTACTTTTGTACCTACCGTAGGACTAAGGGGACACACAAGGAGTGATTCGGCTCAGAGAGAACTCAGCCGTGCCGCTGATTCCCGAACAATGTCCTCCATACAACTGAATTTTGACAGAATAATAACATCGGGTGATTATCTGCCTACATCCGATCACGTCGAGATGTTTAAACTAGAGAGTCCGGTACATCAAAAGGGCTGGTTGTGTCCATCTCCTCTGTGAATGTGGGTAGTCAGGTGCTTCACATTATTGGTTTAGCCTTTCCTGGTGGATGCTCTGCTGGGAAAAAAAAAAAAAAACACCTGTGGAGCGCGGCGACAGATTTCACACTTTAAGGTGTGAAAGCCTTTAGTTCAGAGGCTGTTTAATTTCCGTGAGCATTAATATCTGTAAAAGCTTTGATGAAGCTGCGCCCTCGGAAAAAAAAAAAGACAGATTTCCACGTCGAAGACCCACAGAAAGTAGAAACATTTAGATAATTTTATTACAATCTTTTTCGTAATCATTTCTCTTTTGTACTTTTTAATACCAATTTTCTTTCAACATTTTTCATCCTGGTCTTGGTTTTGATGGAGTAGGTTTAATTTTACTAGTGGAGTCTGCTTTCCCATTTTCTTTCTAATTCATGTTGATACAGACATGATATTAGCAGAATATTCTATTTCAAGCACTGAATGAGATTAGGACGGTATTTTTTGGAGAGGCAAACATTCGATGAAAGTATTCACTATTGTGCCATCAGGCTGTTTATCTTTTCAACCTTCAGAATAATTAGTATATCAGGACGAGGGCTCTCATTTCCCTCATTTCTGTTGCTAAGTACACATTTGATGTCTTTTCTGTACTCAATACATACTGTGAGTAAAAAACATCAAACAATTTACTTGTGGTAATGGAAAGTCATAACAATTAGGATTAAAAATTCAAAGCTGGATCAACTTCACCATAAAATGCACCATCATGTTGATCAGCCATAGTTGCTCATTTGGTCTGGCAGCTTTTTAAAGCCTTTTTTTGCGATGCGAAAAACCATGCAACTGTTTCAATTTCTCCAGTGACAATAAAAAAACAACAAATAAATAAATAAAAATAGGCGCAGTCAATCCTCGAGGTGGTGAATTGTGTGAACTTCGCTTAAAAAAAGTTGGGAAGGAGACAGAAATTTAAATAAAATAATTAGATTGAAGTATTTGCCATTATGTAATCAAAACACTGTATTTACATAAAAAAACACTACAAAGATAAAGTATCAAAGTCATAAAGTTGAAAAATACTTTTTTTGGAGGGGGGGATCTATTCCCATGATTTTTTACCCAAAAAAAAGAAAAAAGCTGTGACAGAGTTATGCTTACCACTGTGTTACATCACCTCCTCTTTTAACAACACTTTACAATGTGGAGAAACTAATTGATTTCAACAGCAAATGTTTTTCCATTTTGGCTTGGGATAAGTTTTCCAGCAAATCCACTGTGCTGTGCAGTGGGTGACGATTTAGGCCCCCAGCCACGACTCAGTGGTAGAGCTGACTATAAATGTAAAATCTATAATGTAAACATGGATTTTCTGAGTTACCTTATAGAAAAACAGCTGCAATGTAAAAATGATTGCTTTAGTATTATGTGTCATATTATTGTTATTTTCTGGCAGCATGTGTAACTTTAAAACTGGAATAAAATGTCTGCTCCTTTGTAGGTATTAAGGTGACAAATAGTGTCTTTACTCACCAGAACCACCATGAATGATGCAGAATGCATAATTTCCAAGACAGATTTTTAAGATTTGGATAAGGCAGTTTTCAAATCCATACCTCAGAACATTTGAAATGAGTTTGTTGCCCAGAGAAAGGAGCTTTATTGGTGCAGCTGGTGGGGATTTCTGTCTTCCAGGACAGGCTAATCCTTTGTGTCTAAACAGATGCCAAATGGACTTTTTCCTCGGTCCTTTAGGAAGGTTTTGTTTCTTAAAAAAAGGATCCTTCACCTAACACTGACTGGCGGAGAGTTTTGAGCTTATAAGGTGACTTGCTTTACACTTTCAATGGAGCTTTGACTCTCCAAGGTCTTTCACAAGTATTTTTACTTGAAAATGAACAGTGGTCAGAATGAACAATCAACTATAACAGTAACACTCGAGGAGTGAATGTCTCCACAAATGCTTAGATAGCTGAAAATCACAACTGGCCAATGGCTCTTATTATGTATCTGTTGCACCTTTTAAAAAAAGAAAGATGTTGTTAATCTGCTTCCGTTCCACCTCGGTAAATGTACACATACCAAAGAACCAACGGTTGATGGCAGCCATGTTGTTCAGAAGGATTAATTTTGATCTGATTTTTTCTTACACCCACAGATATGTGAACATTTGACATTAGTTGATGAGACAGCGAGTTTCACGAACAGCTAACGCTGTTAGTAAAGCCGATCAAGTCAAGGCCAATGTGTAACTTCTACTCTGATGCTTGTGGCACTTAATTAAAAGGTGTGGGCAGGTTGAGTTATAATGTTAAGTATCAAATGAATTAAATGGCTTTAATTCTCTCTCTTTTTGATCCTCTCCATTGGTTAAATATTTTTTAAATGATCTAACAGAGGTGATGGAAGCCCAGAACCGCTGAACTATACAAGAAAAGAAATGAAATGATATGATATGAAGTGACAAACCATTCCATTTCTGCTGAGCGAGCTGATATTTGTGTGGTGATTTCTGGCTACGATGCGATTGCCCCAGTTGATAAATTAAGACAATAGATTTTAGAAGAGGTGTTTCTGCGTGGCTAAAAATAAATGCCCGATTCATGTTTGATGAAAGCTATTTCAATATTCAAAGAGCGGATAAGCTGCGCGGTTAAAAAAAAAAAAGAAAAGAAAAGAAAATCTGATCAAGTTTGAAAGTTAAATCCCCTTTGCACTCTCTCAAATACATGAGTCAGCAACATCAACATCACAGACATCATGAGGCAAGAAATCAACAGCTGCAAGGTTTAACCCAGGATAACAAAAGGTCTGACGGTTGAATAACACCAGCTGTCACATGACAATATTAATACTTATTTCAGATAAAGAACCGAAGAAGACAAGCTGTGGAGGCAAGAAATTCTCTCCATTTAAAAAATAAAGTGAACAACACCCTGCCGCAGCCACCAAATGACGCAGTCATGCAAAGTCGAAATGAGGGGTCAGTCATAGGATCAAATCCTGATTAAACAAACAAATAAAAACACAAATGCAAATTGCAGGTTAAAAACCTTAAAACAACCTGACACACTTCTTCCGGGGTTTTGTAATCTCTAATAAACTCCGAGATAAACTGCCTCTGGTCAAAAACTGAATCCTGCTCTCTATCAATTTTTGCAAAGCTTAAAAATAGATGATAAGCTCGTCTAAGAGAGTTCCATTTGAAGGAGCGTTGGTTACCCAAAGCCGTGAGTGCACAGATGGAGCAGACATCGAGATGAAGTCAGTTTAAACCAGGAATGGGGAGGGTGTGTGTGTGTGGGGGGGGGACTGGTGTGGGTGGTAGAGACAGGAGACAGAAGAGAGTCCTCCTCTGTGTGTGTGTACATGTAGATGTACGAGTACGTGTACAGATCCGGGCGTGTCTTTGCGCGCCTATCTGGTGGATGCGCTCTCGCGTGTGTGTGTGTGCGTGCGTGCGTGTGTGTGTGAGATGAATTAGTGATGGCAGCTGGTGGAGCGGTGTGATCCCTCAGCGGTGGTGACAGCAGCTGTTAGTGGGGCCGTCTCCGCCCAGCCAGACTGACTGGGTCCTCTTCATCAAATACACTGGCTCATTAATGCTGCAGGGCCCGCTGCCGCCCCGCAAGAGACCCCCACCAGCAGCAGAGTCAGGGAGGGAGGGGGGGGGGAGGCAGGGCGGCCGGGGTGAGTGGATGTGTTCTGCATATCTGTGTGTGTGTGTGCGGTTATAAGCAAACGTGTCTCCGTCTAAGCTTGGGTGAGCATCTGAGTGTTTGTCTTTTCAGCTTGGACATATTTTTTGCATATCTGCACACGTGTGTGTATGTGTGTATGTGTGTGTGTGTGCGTGTCTGTCACTATGGGGGCTCGGCGCCTCTCTGTGCGTTTTGCCGCATGCGTGCGTGCGTGTTTGACAGGGAACTGCTGACAAATAACAGCAATCCCGCTTGTCAGATTTGACTGCCGAGAGCGGCTGCTATCACTCCCCTCAACCGCTCCTTCTAAAAAAACTGCTACCGACAGTCGGGATTAGCGCGCACGAGACAAGCTGGCTGCGAAAGATGTCCTTAAAAATGCATATGCGCAATTATCCGTGTGGGGGGGGGGGGGAAACAGCTGGATGAATGCTCCCGGAGTAGGGAGATCTAAATGTATTTGTGTGTGGGTGAGCGTGCCTTTAGATACCTGTAGGTAAGTGATTCTGTTCTGGACCAGATCCGACAGGTCTTTAGCCTCCTTCATTCTCCATTCGCCGACTCCGTCTGCTTGGCTGAGGTAGTACAGGTCTGTCATGATGGACCTAGAGGCAAAACACACATATTCTAACACCTCATTTAAGTAGATATTCAGTTATTACCTGTGTCTTGTTGAATGGTGTCAGCACTCAAGTCATAGTGACAGGTAATAGCAAACGTTTTTGAGAACAAATTCTTGATGAGTATAGAAAAAGATCTACACTTCTCTTGTATAGTAAAACTTATGGCCTACGAACACATATGTGAACCGAGTTGTGTGCTGGTTTGTAAAGTGTTTAACATGCACCAGAGCCTGTGTATAAAACATGGACACAGTCACAGTGACTGTGCATTGTTTTGTGGACTGCTGCTTTTTTGCCTTGAGAATCTTAAAACCCGAATAATCCAGTTATATTATTGCACAACATCGAGTGAGTCTGAGGGAAAATGTATAAAAATGGATGAGGTACATACAGTAAAACATCTATATGCAAAATTTCATAAGACGCAGGAAAGGACACGGGGAAAGATGCTAGTTGCTAGGCACCAGATGCAGGAAGAAAGTTTTCAGACCTCATGATCAGCTTTGTGTCACATGAGAAACTGATAGAAACACCCCACGGAGCCAGTTGATAGTCAGTTTGTCCGCCAGTAAAAGGGGAAATGGACACATAGATGCACTGGGCAGATAAGAGCTGAGGCAGCAGAGAGGTGCAGAGATTGCTCTATCTCTGTGGCTAAATGCTTTGTGTACGGCTGAACATCTGCTTCAGGTTTTTGGGTTGACGGTTTGTAATGTCAGTGAAGACGGATTCGTTGAATAGGAGTTTTAGAAACCCTCAGTGGCAATAACCATTTACCTGCAGATGGAAGCTAAGTGTGGTTTATGTCTGTAGCGATTGTGTTTGTTTGCAAACCATTTTACACAGAGGTCCTGGCAGGCTTTTTAAGGCTAAACTGAAAAGGCACGTGGCCGGAAATTCCATCGATTTTGACAGTGTGGTAAATGCCTCCTTCGTGCTGATTAGCCAGTGCAGAGGCAAAAAAAATCCTTTAACTTGTCGTCCATGGATTAGACAGCAGCCACTTAAAACGTTTGAGAGGGATCCAGTTGGATTTTTCTGATCGCGATGCAGATTAAATGGCAACTTTAATTTACCCCGTCCCTGGAACACTAAAACCAACAACAGGCACCGAGAGAGGTATTTCTGATCTTTAAACTGTGTCTTAAGCATTCCATGAAAAAGAATAATAATAAAAAAAAACTTGCTTGACATTTACAGACTGTGTTGTTTCCGTGTTGCTGACTAACAAACAACTTCGCGCTGGTTGTTATGTTGTTTTTCGGAACACGTCTGTCATCCGCATCCCTCTGACAAGCACATCTGTGTACATGTCACACACTGCCAAACATCATGACCGTCCGCTCACAAAACATGCCAGGACTTCTGATACACGCGGAGAAGGGCGGACGCAAAACAACATCACACGCACTTACGCAAGCTTAATTCATTACTCATTTCTCGACCCAAATCAGTCACATCATGTGTGACTGAAAAACTCGGATGCATGCATTCAGTCGCCCATGCAAACACACGCACGCACACAAACAAAATAACGCAGAATAGAAACGCACTGCATCTCATTTCAACAGTGTGGCATTGGTGAAAAGTGCCTTTCTAAGCTAACTTAGACAGTATCATTACTCATTGTCAGTTTTCCGAGGGGAGGAACCGCAGTGTGTGTGTGTGAAGGGATCTGAATCTCCCCCTCACAGGGGAGCCATCACCGACCCTCTGCGGGAAAGAAAAGCACACCTGGCCGGCCACTAAACGCAGCAAGGAGGAATCAACAGACACCCCCTGTGGGACTTGGCTGCAAGACGGTGACACACAACGCAGACAAGAAGTCGTGCCTGTGCAAATGGGTGTGCAGGCGCCTATAAACGCCCTTAGTGTTTTGTTTTTTTCATCCACGCGAACGTACAGGACAGCTTTTGATTGCTTGGAGCTGCTGATGTGCAGCTGGAGCGCTCGCGTGCTTCGAGCTCAGATTACGGCGCGAACGTAAAAGTGTACTCTAGTGAGAGAAAAGGACGAGCCATAACTGAGCAGGGACGTTCCACGGTGAAACAGACCATTGTGTAAAGTCGTCCCTACTGGTCGGCAGGCGCGCCTTGCGCAAACTGAAACTGAGCACTGTCATTTCTGTCATTTCGCTCGGTATGCATGCTCTGTTGTGTTCTGAATAGCGGTTTGACAGATTTGAATTTTCAGTATGTGACTCTTACGCTTTTAAACCAAAAAAATTCTAACAAAAATGTAATTATTCGGTTCAGCTTAATTATTCTAGTTATATAATGTTATTTTCTGATGGGTAAAATAAACCCTTCAATCTCTCAAAAACAGTGATTACATCTGTAGTGGTCATTAAAACAATTCCAAAGGTTCTTTGGTTTTAATTTACAAGTCACTGGTTCAATTCCAGATCGAGCAGTAACTTTGTCTTCATGTCAAGCTATCCTTATCGGCAAAGAGAGCTCATTCAGATAAGCCATATTTTTCTGCTTTTTCCAAAGCATTTTAAAGGGAAATTTTAAAATTCACCCTCAGCTAAATCAATAGTTTTAGTTGAGCTTGACAAGAATAAAAATGGACCTTAAGTGGCTGAATTACTGATGACTCAATCCTGGTAAACTGTCGTACATAAACTGACTGGAACAGATGTCTGACTGTAGAACAACGACCTTTCTGAACACCCACATTGCTTCTCAGAAGCTTGGAATGAAAGCTCCTCGTGGTACAGTGAACATTTTCACAGTTAAGTCCTCGTGTACTTTCTTGAAACCGCACACTTTTTTTTTTTTCATTTTTATTTCACCCTACAAACATGAGCAGAATGCAAACGAAAGAGCTGAGCACTCATTCAAGTCAAACATTTCATTGCTTTTCCCAACCTCCACCCCTTATTTGTGCCTGCTCGCTCAGCCAGTGTGTGACTGCAGCATATACAAATTAATCTGGGAAAAAGAGATGGAGACAGTGAGTGAATGCATATGAAAATCTGGCTATGGGCCTGTGTGTATGCGGTAAGGAATCGGCCTCTGGAAAGCTACTTAGCCAGCATTGACTAAGACAATAGGTCCTGTAATGCAACTTTAGGAGGATTACAAAGGAACCACTTGGCTAAGAGATATACCAGGCTTTTGGTCTTTAGCTTGAGCAGAAAGCTGCAGATGAAGGAGCGGGCGTGTCCACGATCTTTGCCCTTTGTTTCTGTGCCGTTTGAAAGTCCCGACACTACCGGTTCTCCTGAGCTATGTTTGGCACAAAAGACAATAACAACTATTATTATCCACAATCGGTTGATGAGATTTTTTCTTCATGGTTTCAAAACAAGCATCTGTCTGTTCTGCGAGGCAGCGAGAACCAAAGCGATGAAAAAACTCGAGATAGAGTTTATTTATCGGAAATGGTTCATTAATTTTGTGGCGAAATGAACTTAGCCGTGTCAAGTTTGCTTTTAATAATCAGCGTGACCATGAGGTGAGAACTGAGACGCGAAATGAGAAGTGAGCAACGGCTTTCAGTTGCACAGCAGCATTTTAGCTTTTGTCCTCCATCTGGATGATGATGGAGTTAATATGACTCATTTTGTACAAATGTTAAATAAAAAAAATGAAATCCTGTTTAGAACCGACGTTGCAATACTTCTACCAACCGAAAGATTTCAATGTACCGCAAAATGCGAAGCATTAGCATTCGCCTACTCGCTTTTTTTTTAAAAACTCCTAAAGTCTCTCCTGTTTCTTAACTGACTTTGTGTTGCAAGGCACCTGGTTTAAGAGGGCATGATAAAAAAAACACCAACCCAGAGTTGCTCAGAGCCTAAACTAAACACTTAAAACAACCACAGAGCAGTATTGTTGTATTTTTCGGAAACAAAACGGCACTTTTAAAATATCAAGCTTCTACAAAACATTCCACGTAACTGCCATTTCTGAGGTTCTGGTAATAAAAAAAAAACAAATGTAGCGAGCATAGCTGGTTGTGCTGCCGTGGGGGGGGAGAGGCTTCAGCCATCAAAGAAGACAAGGGGGTTGGTCTGAATGCAGCATTTACATGAACTCAAGGACCCAAGGCCGGTCGGTCAGCAGAATACAGATTTTCAACCAGATCGACCTACATCTGTATTCCCCAGCCAGTGGTCTTACTGACTAATGATCATATTAAACAGCGCTCTCTCATTTCTAAAGCAGCCACACCTCAGTGACTCTGATAAGAGCTCTTTAATGGTCAATACAGATTATCCAGCCATCCTTACATCAATAAGTACAGCATCCACAGCAAAGAGACTCCCTTCAGAGTCAGATCCGAGGGGGGAAAATGGGACAGCGGGGTTTGAGGCCGGATCACATGCTCACCTCTCCTGGTGTCCCAGCTCCAGCAGGAGTGTGTCCGCATATTTCTGCCTCTCGCTGGGCTCCACGTTGGCCAATTTCTTCACCTCGCTGCGCACAAAGTACCAGAATTCTTTAACGCCGTTTTCCACCCTCCTCCGCAGCTCCTCCTGAGTGGGCCCGGGGCCTGTGTGGGGAAATCACAGCAAACCCGGGTCAGCTATTCAGCGTTTCAGGAAAAAAGGTGGGAACGACACAAGGAGCCCAACCTGTTCCATGAGAACACAGGCAGATGAAACATGGTGGGAAATCGTATCGGGTAGTCTTCCAAGAATGCCGGAGTATTAGATTATATGACCATAAAAAAAAAAACAATTAGGACAAAGCTTAGTTTGGGACTCGTAACCATTAAGATCTCCTTCTTTCATGCGGTGTCCCTGGGTGTTACTTTGACCTGATTAAGAAAAAAGGCTTGCTTTTGTGTATCGTCCCCTCTCGTGTTTTTCACACACAGGAACTCTATACGTCCGCCTGAAACAATAAGGGGGTAACCCTCATGGATAACACAGCTGCTCTGGTTTCTGTGGTGAAAAACACACTGAAAAAAATCAAGGGAAGCGAGAGGAGGGACAGCCTTTTTTTTCTTTTTCTTTTCTTAAACTTCCTATCTCACTCTCTTTCCTCTCCACTGCCTCCCGAGTGGAAAAAAGCTGGAGGGTATTTTTATCCGTTTCTTTCCCTGTGGCTAGATGGAACGGCTGACCCTACGCTGCACTCTCCGCTCACATGTCCTTACTTATTTTCCCTCTGTCTCTTTTCTCTCCTTTCAGTCCCTACATTTTGCCGGTGGGGGCATTCACACTGCCTCCTCCTCATTCACACATTTGCTCACTCACCTGACAGCTTTCCTGGCCCCTCTGACCACAGCTTAGAGGAGCAAACACACGCATATAACCCTGCCCATTGATGGTGTGGCTCAGCCGTCATCACCGCCGAGCTACACCAGCTTTAACACGGGACTAGACCGAGATTCTCACATTCCGGACGAGAGCTCACGAGAGGAGCTGAGTGGTTTCGTATTATACACATTCCACCCACATACTTTCGATATGCTGTGCGTTATTGTGTCTGAAGCACTCAAACCCGTCGGGTGGCCCCTACTTACCATCTCCGGTGAGTTTCTGGAAGCTGTGGATCTTCTGTTTGGCTCTGGTCAGCTGGTCTTCCAGAGAGCGCAGCCTTCCTGCAGCCAAAGACCCAGCGTCCGAATGGCCCTCTGGTATCCTGAAACACATGGAGAAAACATGACTGATGGTCAATAGAATATTTGCTTCTTTAGAAAAAAAAAATCCCCTAGCACTTTTAGTTTCATTTAGTCAAATTCTGTCAATGTGCATCGCCACACAGCTCACAACTGTAGCATCAGAGCAATGCATCAACTTCCATTTTTTGGTCAATTTGGCTTATCCTTTCCATCCAATCCATTCATCCAATAATTACATGCCGAGCTTCAACTGTAAGGTCTGACCCGAATGTCAAGTCAAATGACGGTGACCTGGTATGCAGTAATGATGAAAACAGACCTTTCTACAGTTTTACGTTCGCCTAGGGGGATCTCTGAATCTGCTGAACTCTTACATGCACTAAGCCTCTGAATTCTAATCAGATCTCATTTAATTCAGAGGGAGTCTAATAAATGAAGTCAATAATCAATCAATAAACAAATAACCCTGTTAATCAGAAAGCATATTTGAGGTAAAGCTACTTAAATGCAGTAAACAAACTAAAGACAGCATTTTTTTCTCAACCACACCGCAATCTGTGAAAATTCCAGGATTATTTTCTTACATTTAGCTGTTTTTCTGAGTGACAAATGGCCAAGAAATGTGTATTGTCAAACCACGCTAGTACCAAGGTAACACGTTATCGGTTTTTCAAGGGACATTAACCTATTGAAGTATGACTCAGAAGTATGTATTTTTACTTGAGAAAATGTGAGTACACATGACCAAAGGTGCTGGGTTCATCTCAGATTCAGAAGTGAAGAGAAAAGAGATGGATGGGTGGTGTAATTACCAGAGGGACCCAGCTAATGCTCGCAAATTCGCCTCAGCATTCACATCCTTACTCACAACAAAGACAAACCGGCATGTAATGACATGGAATGCTTGACCTAAAAGTCACATGCGTTGGTTCATGGTACTGTAACAAAATGTCCAGATGAAAGAGAGATGTTAAAACTGCGATTTCCCTTCAGCTTAGAAACCGAGTTCACGTTACTGTTGAGGGGGTAAGCCAATCCATCGATATTATATAATACCATTTAAGGCTGAATAGGTCCAAATGCCTGTGTGCATTCACCATAGTGAGTCTTCACGGCATGCACAGTAAATTTTCTCCTTGAGTAAAGAACATTAGTCGCTGGCAGGCATAAAGATGAGACTTCGAAAGCTGCAACATCCCCCCATTGCCGCACAGCTATCCTTCAATGTGTGAGCTGTGGTTCCCCGAGAAGAGAAGTCTTTGCCTCCCCCTTCACCGGGCATCTACGGAGCAATCTGCTAGAGGGCCGTAAAAAGCTGGAGAACAGTGTGGCTTTATTTACTCTATTGCCAGCATGTGATGGACAATTGTAAATCTCTGCTTACTTTCGTAACAGAATAAAATGTCCTAAATTCAGTTTTGTGGCGTGTCCATTACAGCAGACCAATATAGGTCTTTGAAAGGAAAGCCAGTGGCATTTCCTCTCCAAGTATCAGCTTTGTTATCTGTTCTCCAACTGTATTCAACTACCTTTTCCCAAGGGCCACACCTTAACTTGCTCGTTATACGACTGCCACGGAAGTAGGACCACTTATTAGGTTACATCATCTCCCAGGGGTTTTAAGTGCTGCTTAAACTGTGACACAAAATAACAAGAAATCTCCTTGAACAAGGCAGAAAGGAACAGACTCGGCTCAGACTAATGACAAGGAACAACATAGTATGGGGTTATCTGCAAACTGCATGCGCAATTGTTAATGTGGGAGTATAAGAAAACCACAAGATATGTCTATAGACGTATATATATTTATATAGACACAGAGAGAGATTTTTAGATCCACACACAGGAAGTAGGCAAACACTGACTGCACATAAAAACAAATGATCTCTGATAGTATCTCTCGAGAACCCCAAGACAAGGCGGCGGGATTCTACAGCGTCTTAATCAAACGATACAGGAATGGCAACGGGGAAACAGACGGGGAATAAAAGTGCGGAATAAAAGGCAAGCCTCGAAAGCAGGGAGCGATGATGAGCCCCCGGGGCGGGTTCAGCGCCTGACCCAGTTTCCTCTGAAATACTGTCCCAGCTGCCGCGCCACTGGCTCGTGTCCCCCCCGCACCTGGGATAAGCGTGGAGTTCACAGGTTGATCGGAGCAGGGCGGAGCCGTTTGCATGCCGGGGCGCAGATTCGCAAGGAAAAAAAATGGAATATTCACTGGCTGACTTCAATAGAAAAAACTTGCGTGCTGACCTGGAAAGCTATACATAGGGGGAAGAGATGTAAAGTGTTCTCTAAGGTGTGGATGAAAGAGGGGCAACACAAACGCAATTTGCCTTTTCAGTAAAAGAACGACTTACACGGGTTCAAACAAGAGTATCCACGCATCATTACACCGTGATGCTTCAAAGACTCAACTGATATGTTCCGGGCTTCTGCTGGAACTCAGGACCTCTAACCATTTGACTCCAATAAGTCAAGCTAATAAATGGCAGGAATGCGGCAGTGGGAAACAAATAGGTGGAAAAATCGGATGTTGCCCCGGAAACCTTGCTCCTAATGCCTAGAAGCTGTCGTAAATACTTCTACGTCAATCTTAGTTTATGGATAACGTTGCAGGCAATCTGTTATATCACACTGTACACGTGTAGGTCACAAAGTGTTTTTAAACATTTTTCTACCTGTGTCAAATCTGTTTGTCTCCTCCACTCTGTGTTATAACCACGGAATCAAACAGAAACATTTCCAAGTAAAGTGATTCTGAATGGTGCATTCTTTCCTTCCATGCTCCAGTGCTTCAGTACACGGACCGGCTCTGCCCTGAGCCCCGTTTGCCCCAACAAACACAGCTCCACGGTCAAAACCGTGTGTGTGGGAACTGCGTGATGACCAGTTTGATGGAAATTCGGAATGCCAAGCGGCACCTTCTGGGCTCAAATCATCACCATGCCTTTAAAAAAAAAAAAAGCACCTAACTATGTAGGTCACTTTTAAAAATTTACATTTGCATTACTATTTCATTTGAGAGATAAGGGGCCTGAATCAGGCAAACATTTGCAAAACATTCAGATCTTACAGGCTACTAAAGCTACAAAGCAAATTGAGGCCTAATGGACAGCAGCCAATACAAAAACAATTGCATAGAAGCGTGTAAAAACTATTTGCCTAAATGCTGCCCTCCCTTCTTTATTAGGTCACATGGTTCTGTTTGCATTTTTTTTTAACTCTCAGAACACATTACATTGCATGACCTCAGCTGAAATGGGTCTGCATTCGGTTCTTCTCCTTTTACTGCTTAGCCTTTGATCGTATTGAACCATCGCAAACATCTTGTTGGCACCGAGGTGGGCCGAAATAAAATATGAAGCAGATTAGCACAGCCACTGCGGTCTCTGCAACTCCTCTCATTGCCTCTGTCCTCATTTTTCATTTCCTCCATGCCGCTCTTTACTTAGCACGGCATTCGTGCCATCCATCATGCTCCCATCGTCCTCCTCTTCTCTGAAACATCCCATCCTTTCCTCCGCCTATCCGCCCGTTGGCTCGCCCGGAGGGGGGTTTTTGGGGGATCGATTCCGGTCGTCATCGCTCAGGCCGGCTGTCAATCTCGCCCCGCTCTTCCCTCTAGTGTCACAAGATCAGGCCGGCGCGTCATTGTCTCCACGTGAACGGGCTCCGGGGCACCAGGTGACTGACAGCTGCGGCGGGGGGCGGAGCCAAACCGCCCGAGAAACTCCACCTCGGGGCTCACCTCTCATTAATGCCGCAGGGTGCTGGTGGGCTGGCGCCATGCCTGTCACTCAAATCTATCAGGAGCGGCCCTGAATTAGTGAACCGCATCGGGCGGGCCGGCCAGGTGACACCAATTTAAATCCGATTGTTGACTGATGTTTTCATTAACTCCCTGACGATTCGATGTTAACAGAATGTAGGAATGCGGGCAAAATGTGTTCAAAAACCCTCAATCTGGCAGTTTCCGGTGCATTTTTGATTCCCTTACTCAGTGTTAGTGCCCTATGCAAACTCGCTATGATAAAGCAAATGAGAACATTGGAATAAGGTCCTGTCAGATGCGTAATGACTGCGCCACACCGCCCGGTAATGCATGACACATCTATCCAGTGCTACTGGGGTGTAATGACGCTAACCAAGTTAAATTTGACTCGGATCGATAAATCAGTCTGAATGCCGTGGGTATCCGCGGGGCGAGAACTCAACATGATGTGTAATGATGTCGGTTTTATGGGTTGAGAACTTTCGGAGGCCACTCGTAAAAAATGAAGGCACTAATGTGCCACTTAGGTGCTCCGGCTGAATTCTTCTTTATTTATCTGATGCCAGCGGGATGCTAGCACGGAGCTGACTCTCAGAGGTCCACAACCCCGTCCACGTCTGCACCCCCCTCTAAGGCAGTTAATCGAGTTAGTCGTTTTTTGAGCTGGTGAGTTGTTACACAGTCTGTGAATTCTGTGACGATCTGCCAGCTGGAGTCGGCCTCTGTCGGTGGTTTCAATTCAATTCAATTCAATTTTATTATATAGCGCCACATCACAACAACAGTTGTCTCACAGCGCTTTCCAAACAGAGCAGGTCAGACCCTACTCTGAAGTTAACTACAGAAACCCAACAATTCCCACCATGAGCAAGCACTAGGCGACACAGGCAAGGAAAAACTTCCTTTTAACAGGCAGAAACCTCGAGCAGAACCATGGCTCAGGGTGGGCGGCCATCTGCCTCGGCCGGTTGGGGGTGAGGGGAAAGAGAGGGCAAGAGAGAGAGAGAGAGAGAGGGCGAGAGAAGGACAGAGGGAGCAGAGAGAGGCAGCCAACACAGCAACACGTAGACTAGATGAAAAATGGCAATGATATTAATGCTAATGATGATGGTAGAAGTTATGACGGCAACAGAGCAGGTTTGGTGGCATACTGAGGCGGAGGTGAAGGAAAATTATAGAAGTGAAGAAGTGTGGGCAGCCGATGAACAGAGAAGTGAAGGGCCGTGGCAGCCATGGCAAGCCGCTCTCTAACAGACATGTATTAGGGCTTTTATATGAGGAATTCTCTTCTGGGCTTACATGTGACCTTTTTACACACGCGGCCATTTGCACAATGATAGAAAATCAAACTGAGGATGAACCGTCCACCGTTGGTGGCTCGTAAAAAAGCCTCAGCAAGCCGGTTTTGTGCGTTCAGCATGCTGGGCTGGATGCTTAGCTGAAGCCGAAGCTGGGACTTGAGAATGCACGGTAGCACGAGTCTGGTAAACAACTGAGGGGGCCGGAGTCCCGCGTCAACAGCCTAACTCGGTAACGAGCAACAAGGAGGCCGTGTGTCTGGGCCCCGTCTGGACATCGACTAAAAAGCAGCGCTTGTTTTTTTTCTTTTTTTCGCGCCATGAGTTCCAACCTTTGTTTTTGAGCCAATTTTAAATAATTACAAAGCAAGGGATTTAAATCGGAGACCAGCTGTTTGAAGCCATGCGTGCGCGCGTTTTTTTTTTTATGTTTGTGGGCACCGATGAGGGGCCTCACATCAAAGTGAATAGAGATATCACAGAGGAGCGGAGATGGCAACATTTGAAGATCTTCGTTAATACGACACAGAGACACACAAACAAACACACACATCAGCCTCCTCTGCGCATGACGGCACACTAACGCACGGCCAAGTCGAGAAGTAATGCTCGCGTGCGAGAGGAATGGCTGTCAGCCTGTGGAGATAAGTGCAGAACCATCTGTCTTGCTATTACAAATACCTTGAACGCGTGAAAATCGCTGTGGTTAATGGACTCGCGAAATGCGCTAATGTCTCCCCAAAATAACAATGAAATCTGGCGAGATGTGTGACAGACCATCCATCTGTCACGCGCAGCACCTCTGACATGACTGATCAGCCACTCCGGCAGTGAGAATCAGCTTAGAAAACAGCGTTTAGCCACACTCACCCCACCGTGGCACTTTAGCATTTTGATTATTATTCTGGTTGAACTACCAGGGGTTGGAAATGAGGTGCTGCATCATGGAAATCCCTTAGAAGTAAGTTTACAGACGGAACACATTTACTTGAAAACTGTGTCGTGGTTAAAATGTCAGGCCGCCATTTGTAGTGCTAACAAAATCCTTCATCGAAGCACTTAGAATATTGACACAGTAAGAACTCGGCCAAATATGACCAGGAAATATCAAAACAGCATCCGTATGTACTTCTGCAGTTTTTTTAATTCACAGATTTCTCATGAAAGGCAAATGCAGCACTTCATTCTTAATTTTTTTACGTTTGTTGGTACAGAGATTGTTGTGATTTTCTCAAACCAGTCCAGTTTTTTTGACAAATAATGCACTGCATGAAGCAAGTAAGCAGGAAACTCTGTTTTTCCATGGCTGATATGAGGGCCCCCTGCTACTTAAACGGCTTGATACCCATCGGTTCAATACTAATTGATTAGGTTTGAACTTTTCACTCATAAATGCTACAGTGACTCCATTGACTGACAACATAAGCCGCTTTTCAAAAGGCATTCTTGCTAACCTGCTGCTCTTCCTCTCTGATGCATGTGGAGCTGAGGTGGCTCCTCGCTGCATTGTTGTGTGATCACATCCACACATTGGCATTCAAAAAAACATGTTCAAACAGCTTCCTAAACAATTTCAGCTCTGCTGAAAAATACAGTATTGGTATCTTATTGATGCACATCCACATATTACAGAATTCTCCTAAATTTATGTTGCAATATGAGCTGTAGGCCGCTTGTTGTTCTCGTAGTGTTTCTGTTGTAAATACATAACAATGATGCATTCGCGGTTACCTGAGTGATTCAGCCATGCGGCGGAGGTCTTCATTCTGCTGCTTGAGCCGCTCCAACTTGGCCAGGATCTTGGAGAGCTCTCGGCTGGACCTCTCCGGATGCTCGCTGTCCTTCACCAGGTGACCGCCGATGTAAAAGAGGAGCGTGCCCCAGGCCAGCAGCACCAGGGTAATCCAGCGCCATGAACCCGCCCAGGGTCGCATGGTTCGACCACGCCGACCCGAAAACGCGTTGTGGTGTACCCCTTACACCCGCCCACCCGCAGGCCTGCCTGCCCGGATGCGCACACACACTCCGTGCCCCGTCACCACAAGTGCCGCAGCGCTGATCCCCACACAGGCATCTTTTTAAGGATGGTAAATGAAGGATTAGCCGAAGATCTGTGTGCCGTACCTCGATAAAGTTCGAGAAATGGCAGAGGACGCTTCTCCGGTGATCAGCCAATCTTTGCCGGGTACTAAATCATGGCTGGTACGCTCAAAAGTCAGTGTTTCGACCACCTGATTGTTGGCCTTTACCCTCCACCCAGATCCGTGGTTACAATCTTAACCAGCCTCACTGCTGTATCCTTCCAGTCCCAGAGGATTTGTTTATTCAAGTCGCAACCTGTAGAAAGAATAGAAAAGAAAGAAAGACATGAGATTAGAGAGGTTTTTTTTTCTCTGGACAATTTTGATTAACAAACAACTCCAAAGCTTATGTCAAACAGAGGCAAATCCGAAGAGAGAGGCAAAGGCTGAGGTAAGCACTGCTGAGCCAAAATAGGGCGCAGATGTGATCTTGACATGTCCCAGTATCAGCAGCCTAAGTGATTGATCAGCATGACACGGCAATTTGCAAGTTACATAGAAACAGGCGGTCCAGAAGCTCTGCGCCGCTGTTGAGACCCGACGCTACACTTTCGGCGTCACGCTCGTTTGTACACAACCACAACCACAGCAAAAAAAAACAAAAAAAACAACAAAAAAACACTATTTTATTTCCTCCAACCTCCCCATGCAGTTCCAAACATGTGGGAGACTGAACCCCTACATACAGTCATTAACAAGCATTTTCCTCCATCTGAACCAGCCCATCCCTTCCCTGGTAAACTCCTTTTTGACGGATGAAACGTTGTGAAGGTGACACGGTGATGTACCAGAAGCAGAGCCGACTGGAAAAAAACAAAAAAAACAAAATCCCTGGATCATCACTTTCCTTCATCCAAAAGCACCTGGGGAGATGGAGATGGACGCGTGCCGGTTTTATGAAGCAACCTTTACAGTGAACTGCCAAAGAGAGCCCTTTAATACAGCCACGGCTAGACCTGTGATGGAATGAAGACTGGCATGTGTGTGTGTGTGTGTGTGTGTGTGTGTGTACAATCATCTCTTATTCTGTATCGCAGCGTGCTGGAGTGACGCCAAGCATCTCAGACCTCATGCGAGTGGGTTTGCCTTATGGGTGAGTCGCTCAAGACCGGGGAAAACGGCGGGACTCTCAGGATGGCGAGGAAGTGCCTTAACGGCGTCTCATGTTTACAACAAATGTTCAAGACATCAATGGTGCCACGCGGTAATAGCACAGAGGCGGCCTGCGCTTCGATCGTGCGCACACCGCCCAGAATGCAGCGGTGGGGATAGTCGAAACAAGGTGCAAATGATCCCCCTTGATTCCGCTGAATAATGCGGGGGAAGCCGAAATCGATGTCCTGCCGGTGACTAACCCGAGATGACAAACCGGAGGCTCCTTTTTATGCATGCAGCGCGAGGTTGTGCCGAGCCGCGTGTTATTATGGAAACTAAGAGGGTGCGAAAGGATCGCACTCCACCAGCTAACGCTCGATTAGAACCTCACTAAGAGCCGGCCTAAATAAACCCCTTCTTACTGTGTTTGCGGAAGCGTAATGAGTTTAAGTGAACTGACAAATATAAAGCCACTCCGTGGAACTGCTGTCAAACAGAATTTGAGAAAAGATTTTTTAACATATAATGTTAAGCCAGTTGTTCTGCTTCCGCGAGACAGTTAAGCCGACACTGAAGCGCTAGCCACGGGGGGTGCCGTCACGCTACACGCTGGGTTTTTTGCACATGCCAACTGGATAGGTTTTGAAAACCCAGACAGCAGCGTGTGACATCATTCAGCCAGAGTGCACCGGGAGTCATCGTGACACCGCTGAGCACCGGCACGAACCCAAGAAGTTTCCACTCACGGCAACTGTGACAAGTTTTTAAAACAAGGGTGAACTAGCAACCACTTCAAAGATTTGTACATCTAATGCTAAATAGTTCACTAAATTAAAAAAAAGTTCCTGGGTACTGGACACCAAAAGGGTGTGTGTCGACATACTCTCGTTTTTATCCGGAGGCACCCGTGACCTCATTTTCAGAATGCTTCTCTCTCATTGTTGCTAGGAAACAAATACTGTCTTCAGTGGCCTCTTCCATAGGTTTCTTCCTTGCCTCGGCTGTTATTTATCAGGCCCAGTTACTTCCCGATTACGATTGATCAGTGAAACAGTCAGAGTCCCAAAATGTGAACTGTATTCAATGGGGGGGGGGGGAAGCTGGGATTGCAGAGGGTGGGGACTGTAACCTGAGAAGGTTTTTGCATTGAGAACATACAATGCCGTCATAAGATCCTTCTGATGTCAGCAGCACACTTTTCACAAAACTGTTACACATGCTATCGAGAATAACTGCAAAAAACTACCCAATCTAATGCTAAACAGCATGGGGTAGTGTATCATTGCCAAAAGCACACAGTGTTCAGGTAAGGCAACAGAACCTGGTGTCAATTGCATGCAATGAAGTACCGGAAACACCCAATAATCATTACCAAAAAGATGTGCTCCACCTCTGAAAGCACAAAAAGAGCAGGCTTATGGGTTGATTCCATTTCAAAATGAAAGTCTTCTTCCCTAACTGCACATTATGACCATTATCAAATCCCGTCATTGGCTTCAGAAAATGAGCAAAGATGCTTTTACAATCCCTTTTCATCATGCCTTTCAGCTTCGCTTTGATGTGGTGCGAGGGAGCAAAATCATATTATATAGTTTTCAGATAGCTGGGCACTACAATTAAAGAATGAAGAGACATCCTTGGTCTGATTAAAGAAAAAATGCTATGATACTCTATGAAAATTTGTTCCGCTGATGAGCAAGGATCTGTCCGCGTAACATTTCAGCAGAAATACATCCGAGCAGAATTCTGAAGTTTTTTGGCATTTTCTTAAACGTTTCTTCACCGCTCAAGTCACATCAGGCGGAGGGGGGTGCTTAAATCATTTGAATAATAATGTCACTTAAATGCGTAAAAGATCCCGGCACAATCATCTCCGTGGCACAGTCATTTGAAGTTTGAACTTTATGAGGGATTTGCTGACAGCGGGATTTCAGAGGACGGCCCTACAATGGCAGAGAACCTGCTCTTCAGGCGTTTGGCTGATTTTTCCAGTGTGTCTGAGGCCGAAATGGGGGGGGTCACGTAATAGCTGCCTCCCATCTCCAGCCAATAAGCTCTGCGGTGATGTTTGCTATTCAATTATGCATGCTGCTCAACTTAGCATGGCTTTTATTACACTCAAGTTAAAGAACAACTGGAGGGGAACATAAATTGTTTCCAACACAATAAGTTCAGCCATATAGGTAACCGGTGTCCACGGGGCAGCTTTTTATCCCAGAACACTACTGCTGACTAGGACTGCTCAGGACTCCTAGAGAGAATGCATTTGGAAAAATGCACTTTAACATATTTGGCTATATTCTACTGGTAGTAGACTAATTATCTGTTCCCACATAATCAAAATAAACAGGGAAAAATCCCTGGTTTGATCAAGGTTGCTAAATAATTCCAATGTGATCCATCTAACATTCCGTACTGAGAGAGAGTTCAACTTTACAAACTAAAACTCAAGTAGTTTTAATTCCTTTGTGTCTGTATCAGTTGGAAAGTTTTCTTAGTTCGTGCTGTTTGATGACTCAACAAATCGATTTTACAGCATACAGTATATTTACTTTATACGTAACCATATCCTCTTATTCTTTCACTTGTGTGTGAATTATTGAATCTAAGCACATTTCTAATTGCTCCATTAAAGTCGACATTGCTTGTAATTCTAAATAAAGGACATGCATTTCCATTTTAAGCACCTATGTCTCATGTTTTAATGCTGTAAAAAGCCCCATCTCCCTTTTGGGACACACGTATACTGCCGCTTCTGATCTACTGTATGTTAGGGGGAAAGGAATCATGTTGGTGTGTGTTGCTAGGGGCAACCCTAAGGGGATCAGTAGAAACATGTTGTACATGACATGGTATGCAGCATGGTGGCAGCTAGATGATGCATGTGCACGGGAAGACGACGAAGTTGGAGAGGACCGGGGACAAATGTGCGGCATTACCGAAAGAATACCAATGAGAAAAAAATGGCGATAGTAAAGCTCATTAAACATTTATATCTATGAAACAGAGATATCCATTCTTCAGAGAATGCAAAATGTGACCAACTATTGTATGGGAGACTGCTCTGTAGCCAGTAGGTATTTCATGCTATTTAGAGCTTTCTGAGAGGAATAGGAAGGTCTTTCCGAACAAGCTTTTCTTGAAAAGCAGACGATGCAGAAGAAATTTCTGCGACTAGATTTAGATTCACAGTGAAGACAGATTTTAGTAGAAATCATTACAGTGGGTAGCGGTTTTAAAAAAAAAGTTAATAAAAGGGAAAATGGAGATGGGGCTTAAAACAGATCTGAGAGGATTTAATTCCAAAAAAAGCAGCAACACAAGAAAGAATGCAGATATTGAAAAGAGCATTACCTCTTAACATTTTTTTGCTCCTCCAACCTGCTGTCATTTGCAACAAAAAACATTCTGATTAAATTTAGAGTAGGGTTGGATTTTTTTTATTTTTATTATTTTTTTTATCCTTTTCCGGCAAACATCTGACTCACTCAGCGGCAGAATCCTCCCACTCGCAGTGCTCCCTTTTGCAAGTCATTTGGCATAATGCTGTAATGCAGAGACACCCTGAGCTTTTTGGGGTGCCCCCTTGTGTTTCATATGCATGTGTGTGCCAGAGAGCGTGTGTGTGGGAGCCACACGGCTTATTACAGCCGACTGCATCTGCAGACACGCACATACGGGCACACACCCACCCACACACACACACACACACACACACACACACAGAAGAGTGGTAAATATTTCATGAGCTGCTGTTTACTTCACCACATTTTCTAAGCCCAATGTGCAGGAGTCCATTAACTTAAGCTAAAAGGCAGAGAGGGAGAGAGCCAGGCGTGAGGACAGGCGTGGGGAAAGAGAGAAAAATAGATAGACTGAAAGCCAGGAGTGTAAAGGGCAAGACGGCCAAATGAATGAAATGGGTTTTAAGACATACACGTGGAAAGAGAGGCCCACAGCCAACAAATTATAGACTGTGGTCATGTCCTCCGTGAGAGCTTATTATAAAGCAATTATGTAATTAGAGACAAATTACACATGGTGGGGTTTTTTTTTAACACTGATTTAGTTATTGAATGACTTATCTTAAGAGAAAAAATTGATCATTTTCTATGTTGTCTGAGATGATCTCTCTCTGGGGAGAACAATAGGTACAAAAAATG